CTGCTGATCCCTCGTGCTTTAAAGTTTCCTGTCTATATAGGCAAACCTGCCTCCCGCACCGAAGCGGACTGAATCCCACGGTTTCCACTCTTTTTATATGCTTTTTCTGACACCCGTTGGAACAGGTGTTTTCCCGATATCTCGCGCTTTGTATCCGCGGTTTTGGTATCTGGACAGCAATCCGCCATGACCGAGCTACCCTCCCCCCTCCCTTTTTTTTTGTGTTTCCGGTTTAAGTTATGTGCATGTGCAAACAGGCGTTAGCTTTTATTTTGGTCTTTTTAATTAGTTTGTATGTCTGCCCAAGCGCATGGGAAGACAAGCGCATGCGCAGGTTATTTTTTTTAAAAAACCGCGCTGCCCAAGGGACAGCACACTGTGTAATCAGTGCTTTGCGCAAGTGAAGCGGAAGACAGAGGGACCGTCTGACCACCTCCAAGCGATATAAAATGTTGCGGATAGAAGAACTGCGGGAAAACTAGCGCAGTAAGAGGTCCGTGTGACCGCGGCCTAGATGATAGTTCTTAGCTGCTACAAGTTAATCACTTCTGCCAGCCTAAGGAACAATTCTGATAACAAGCCAGCAGGTGGGAGTGATGACTTCTATAGTCAAGAAAACTAACAGGCAGAAAAACTCTCTTAAAGGAGACCATTTTCTTGACACAGAGTTAGAAGGGATCCTAGAGGTCACCTACTCCAACACCCTTGCTTAGTGCAGAAATTAGTGCAGCACCCCACTCTGATTAAAGGAGCCCATGCCTGTAAAAATGTCTTAAAATTATTGGGGGGGGAGCATTTACAGGAGAAATTCTTGTGGGGTTGTGCCTTTAAGAAAGGGGAGAAGCCCCAAAAAGCTCCACCATAGCTATGGGCCTGAATACCAGTTATAGGAGGCAGGGGAGAGATGCCGATGGGACAAGGTGGAAATGGGAAGAAGGTGGAGATATGGTAATGATCAGTCTTCTTTCCATCTGTGTTCCATCCCGAGGGATGTTGGTTGTGGGGCTAGGAATATATACCCTTCTCTGACACTGGTACTGTGCAAGTCAAGTCTATTAATAACAAGACTTCTGTTCTACAGTATTACCTGGTGGAGCAAAATGTAGACCTGGCATGCATGACCGAGACCTGGATGAGGGAAGGTGAGACTGTTGCCCTGAACCAATCCCCTCCCCATGTTTCTGGGTCCTCCACCAGACTCAGACTACCGGGGGGGGGGCACTGCTCATCCAGGAGTCTTTCTTTTTCAGGATGCTCCCCACACCAAAAATTTCTGGCATTGAATGTGTTAGCCTAGTGTGGGATGCCAAAGAGAGTCTGGCTATCTGGCTAGTGTACCAACTGTCTAATGCTCCAGCGGATACCCTGCTGGGGGTTGTTGGATGCCATATCAGGCTGGGTGCTGGAACACCCTGGGCTATTGGTCCTGGGAGATGTCAATGAGCAGCCAGTGTGATGCAGCAACAACAAAAAAAGGCTAATACGATCTTGGGGTTTATTAACAGAGGCATAATATCTCAATAGAAAGATGTCATAGTCCCGCTGTACATTGCATTGGTCAGCCCACATCTGGAATATTGTGTGCAGTTCTGGAGGCCTCACTTTAAAAAGGTTGTGGACAGAATGGAGTGGGTGCAGTGGAGAGCACTGAAGATTATCAGGGCCGGAGGGGGGGCGGAGCTGAGCTGGATAATGATGGACGCCTAATCCAAGGGCTCCATGCCTAGACACCAAATAGGGCTCTAAGACACAAACTTAATAACATTTAACAGATGAAACTTCGGCTGTATTAGAAAACAGAAGACCTAAAGAATCCAAATATTGAGTTTGTGGATACTCCCTTAAGGGTTTGGAGGAATATCACAATAATCAGACTCCCTCCTACAGAAGCAAGGTGATAAGATGGCTGCCAAAGGCACAGAGAAAGAAAACACTGAGAGCGATGTCGAAAACATCTTAAAAGTTATGCAAAAACAACTATTGTTTTACAAAAGGATTTAAATCAAGAATTAATGGATGGATGCAGAGATTTATTAAAACCTATAAACAGCCAATTAAAAGAACTAGTAGATAATGTTAAAAATGTGGCTGAGTCTGCTGAGTGAGCTCTGGCTATCAGCAGAGCACAGCAGGAGAAAATCAAGAAACTGGAGAACCAAAATAGAACTATGAAACTAAAATTAGCTGATTTGGAGGACAGAGATCGTTGTATAAACATGCACATCTGTGGGGTGCAGGAGAAAGCTGAGGGAGATGACTTTATAGGATTTCTCATTGACTGGTTTAACTCCCTGGTCCCAGACCCCCCCTTAAGCAGAATGGATCTTGAAAGAGCCCACAGAATTGCAATTCCAAGAGGAGACATTGTGGTGCATTTTGCAAGATATGCAATGAAAGACCATTTTCTTAAACAAGTTTGGAAACTCCCATCCATAAACTATCTCCCTTATAAATAAAGCCGAATGGTAGTGGCACTTCTCTAGAACATTCCACACGCTCCAAAATCAGTTCACTCTCTGATCTGTCATTCAGAGGGTCTCCCTATTCACTGGCTGCTTTGCCTGAGTCTTGCCTCCAACATTCTAAACATTTTGCTTTTCCTCTCCCCCCCCCCATAGCCTGTCAGGTTATTTGCATATGCAGCCTCATTGGCCTCTGCCTCGGAACACAGAGGTCGTTTGCATATGCGACTTGATTGGCTTATGCCTCTAACATTCTAACCAGTTTTGCTATTCTGAGGTAAAATGTGTCCAATCTCCAGGTGAGGGCTGGAGATCACTCAGAATTACAACTGCTTTCCAGATGGCAGACATCAGTTCCCCTGGAGAAAATGGTAAGCTCTGTGTCATTATACCCTGCTGAAGTCACCACAGCAAATTGACACTGAATGCCCAAGGCCAGGGCAACCGTCCAGAGCCTCTTTCTTGAGTTTGTTGTATTTATTTCCACAATGGGCTTTATTCCTAGTAAATAAGTTCCTAGAGTTGTTTGTTTCAAAAGGCCACTAGAGGGCAGTAAGGCTGCAAAAGGAGTACTAGGTGAGCTTTTTGTAGAAACTAATTTGGAACCATGTTGTAGTTTCAAACTAGATTGTATTGGATAAGTCAAATGGAAGTATTAGATAAATGACAATAATGCCTTTGTATTTGTCTATCTCTAACACAATGAAATTATAAGAAGAAATAATGTTGCTTAGGATTGTGCTGTATAAGACACTGGGACCATGATAGGACTGTGCACATAGGAGGGTACATTTTTAATGGCTGTATAAATGACTGGCTGTCATTCATACTTACAAAGACATGTAAAATGCTACACTTTGGGACAGTGTTGAAAGGCTACTGATAGAAATGCCAATGGCCTTCCTCTCCTCTCCCTTTTGAAGGCAAGTATAAGGGGGGAGGGACAACCGGACAAGAAGTTTCTGACGCTCCGACTTCCTACAACTGTATGCCTGATTGCGGAGGAGGGAAGAGTACAAAGGAAAAGGAGTTCCCAGTTTAGTGCCCTGAGCACAGCTTGTAGGACTGGGAGGGAAGATTTTCATCTTGAAGCCTAAAGAGGCCATACTCTTTTGAGAAACAGCACGTAAGGCAATAAATATCTTCTGTGCCTAAAGACAATAGCTGCATTAATTAATGGAAGGTAGACCGAAGAAGGAGGGAGGATGGGGGTAGGATAGGTTTCTCCATCCCTCCTATTTCTGTCCAACTGTAAAAGTCCGGTGAAGTTCCCTTCCCTCCCCAAACCCTGCCCTTCCGAGGTGCCACCCCCCAAAATCTCCATGAATTTCCCAGCCTGGACTTGGCTACCCTGGTAAATATAACCAGACAAGATACTCATGAAAGCTTAAAATGCATATCAGCAGTGACTGATAGTTTCACCAACAAAGAATAGACAGAAGGGCTGAACATCACAATGCCCGAGAAACTGAGAAGGTGGTAGTAAGCTTTTACCTATCAGAAAACACCATTCTGTGGTTCCCTGAAAAGGCAATCAGACAATACAAAACTGGCTCACCAGACACATCAGAAGAATACTTATAGTCTAGTTTGCTCCTTGTGGGAAGCTCAGTGCTCTTCATTCAGAAGCACAGAAAGGGACAGTTCACACATTGCAGAAATGAAATTAATCCAATGCTACGCTGAGGAAATAATTATTAGTTGTATCAGCGCTCAGAGTGGTTCAAAGGTGGAATCAGCTGCCCAGGGAGGTGGTTAGCTCCCCTTCACTGACAGCTTTCAACAAGAGACTGAATATTTGTCAGAGATGCTTTAGGCTGGTCCTGCATTGGGCAGGGGGTTGGACTAGAACCGTCTGTATGGCCCCTTCTAACTCTATGATTCTATCCATTAGTAATTGCTGAAATTGTGCTCCCACCTACCTGGCAATAATTACAGCTCAGGGCCAAGGAAAGGCTTGGTAATGCAATGTTTTGTGGTGTCACATAATGGATGAAACAACCCAAAGCACTCTTCATATGATATGACCACTAAAAAAATACTAACCAACATTTTCATGTGTGATGCTAAGAATCCTGTGAGTCAGCAATCTATTCTGTGTGGAATATTAAGTATCATGGTACAGTCAACAGAACACAACCATATACATTCCTACTAACCAAAGTATGATTTTATTTTTTTAATCTTTTTTTTTTTGCTTCTTTTGTGAAAATCGCTTAAGAATGGTGCTATTCTGTCTTAGTAGTTTAATATTAGTCAGCCTGGACTTGGTTGCTTTATGCTGGTTATTTTTAATATTGATAATTTGTTGTTGTTTTAATGACTTTGCAGTATTTTTATTTAACAACTGAGTCCAGCATGTCTCTGAAGAGGTGTATAAATTTTCACACAAGCAAATAAATTTTACTAACATAATGGTACTCTGGCGTGGACCATTTTTATAATACCTTAAAACGATTTGGTTGGTTTTGGTTGAGGAGCTCCCCCTAGTACTTTGCTCTTGAAATGTCATCTATTTATTGCCAGTGTAAACACGCTGACGGGAGAGCCACTGCAAAGTCGAAACTCGGAAGCTACAAATACCAGACCGCTCTGAGCAAAAATCTCCGAGTCAAGTGCCATCTAGCAGATTATATTATTTTCATTTGCTTTCAGTAATTAGCCCCCACCCTTTGCAAACGGCATTTTGCAGAAGGCTCTCCTGACCGGCTCTACCAGCTGCCAACTGTTCTCCCTCCACTATCTGTGGGTCAGCCTGCTCTTTCATGCACTCAGATAATCCTGGGAGCTCAAATACTGACGTCTGCGACAATCTACGCATCACAGCCATGGAAAAATTGCTGAGAACGGAATTGAAAACCTCTCTTCTGAAGGCATTTGGGAGCTCAGGAGGAGGGTGCATAAGCCAAGGGCAGTGCTTTGAAACCGACCACGGGCGAGTGTTCGTTAAAATCAACGGCAAACCTCAGGTTAACGACGATATCGAGTCCTGTCTAGCAATATAGCTGCACAGGGGGAATGGGTGGGAAATCCTCATATATTAGGCTTGACTATGGCGGAGGGAGGGTAGGGCTGAAATGTGCTTACGCTGCGTAAGCAGCAACTGCATTTTTCTTTATATCGTCAGAGAGGAGCTTCTGAGGTTTCTTAACTGCAGAAGGGGCAGCAGGTTTTCTGTCGCTGAATTTTAAAGATTAAAAAAAATATATGGTGTTTCTAAGAATGTGGAATAAGACCTGAACTGGGTCACTTCCGTTTTTTGCAGTAACCCCTTCTTTCATGTTGCCATCTGGAATTATAAAGTATGTGGTCCACTTTATAGATTCAAATACTGGTTTCACAGTCCCACCCTAAACTGAGTTACAGCCTTCTGAATCGAACTCTGCTTAGGGTATTGTTCTTCCCCACATGATGTTTGAGCATGAAGTGGGTTGGTCTTTTCTCAGCCTGTTGTTGTTTACAAACATTTTATGGTATGGACTGAATGAAGAGTGAACATAAGTAGGATTGCCACCTTCCAGATGGTGGCTGGAAATCTCCCTCTATTACTACTGATCTCCCTGCAACAGAGATCAGTCCGCTTGGAGAAAATGGCCACTTCAGAAGATGGATTATACCCCATTGAAGTCTCTCCTGTCCCCAAACCCTCCCCTCCTCAGGCTCCACCCTCCAATCCCCTGGTATTTACCAGCCTGGAGCATATGTTGATTGTTTTATTTTTAAAGCAATACAATATTGCTATTTATTTACTCTTTGCATGTCTGAATAAGGGTGCCGATCTGGTACAAAGAATTTCAGTGTGAGAACATTAATTGGATTACCAGTGCACCCAGATTAGTTCAAATGCCAGTACCTTTATGCACATGACAACTAACAACAGTTCAGTAGCCTGCTGACTCAGATATAAAGCCAGTATTTGGAGCACATGTACATTTAAGCTCTGGAGAGAGAACAGATCTGCAGATCTAAACAAATTGTCTGCCTTTCTGAAACCTTATTTTTCATTTCATTTTGGAGAATGGCTAAAGTTTTACAAAAGGAAGCAAGCAAGCAAACAAAAACCCATCTCTTGTAATCAACTTTTTTGCAAAATCATAATTTTAACCAAATGATCACTCTCAGTAACATTCTTTTTTTTTTCGGACTAGGCTAGGACAATGTTTGAGGGCGAAATGGCAAGCTTAGAGGCCATTCAACAAACCAACACCCTTTTGGTTCCAAAGCCAATTAAAGTGATTGATCTTCCTGGAGGTGGGGCAGCATTTGCTATGGAGTACCTGAAAATGAAGAGCCTCAGCAAGTACGTTGGAATGTCACCCTATTCTCCTTGTTAAGGAGAGACATCCCCCTGATGAATGTTTTTTGTTCTGTTGTCTGAGTGGCAGTTTTGAAAAAGACCTGCTTTACTACTTTTAAATAACATCTCCCTTGAATTAAAATACATGCAAGGGAATTAACAAATTCACATACATGTCAGGTTATGGAATTACTTCGGGGGGGTATGGTATCAAGGAACCTCTAAGCGTTTGCTGCATCTGGACTATTAGAGGTATCTGTCAAGGATTTGAGACTGTCCATACTATTTAATCTCTTTATAGAAAGTTTGGGTTGGATTGGCCTCCAGGCCAACTAGTAGCATTCTATCTTCACATCGTATCTGAAATCTATGCAAGTTTGTTTGACGTGGGTCTGCTGACTGAGGTGTAAGGATAAGTAATGCATCTCACCTTTTTCTTGCTCAGTAGATTACTTCACGCTTGACATGTCTGATCCTTTTTTTGCATTGTTTCTGCTTTTTGTAATCTTAGCCCAATGGCATTGCTTATTAGATCTGTCATGCTATTTGACTACATTGTTGTACACCATGTAATCTGTTTTAAGTATCATGAGAAAGGCAGACTACAATAAATGTTTGTTTACTCCATTTATACTACATCTTTCTCCCCCCAATGAAGACCTAAAGCAGTACACTGTAGTTGCCTCCATTTTATCCTCTCTACGATTCTGTGAGGTATGTTAGGCTGGGAATATGTGACCAACCCAAGGCCATTCAGCAAGCTTCCCTAGCAGAGTGTGGATTTGAGACCAGCTCTGCCAGTGAATACTCCTCCACTCTAACTGCCACATACAGGCAGCTTCCACACAACAATAATTTTGCCTGTGGTTCTTGTTGTGTTGCTGTGAATACAGATGCATTCACAGGAACAATGGAATATTCTAGGTTTGCCAATTGCCTTCAGTTGTTGGGGTTTTTTTGAGCCCCCGGAGGGGAGGTTTTTTTTTTTTTTTATAAGACTACAAAACTATCACAGAAAAAAATGGGAAGGGGAACTACATATACAGGATAAAGCAAAGAAACCCACTACTAACTAAAAAACCAAGAGAGGAGATCTTCACTAACTTAGTAACAATTAATCTTCACTTCATTTAAATCATTATTAACTGAGTCAAACATTTATACTACTTTTTTCTTTTTCTTTAACTCTTAAACTGTCTAAGAACAATACCCCCAATCATCCCCTTTAAATTTTTTCTCAAAGGCACAATTCAGAGTCCTTCAGCCTTCACTTCTCCTTTCCTCTTCTCTTCCGCAGCTTATAAGGACTTTTGGGGGCAGCTGCCCCTTGTTCTGTCAGAGAGTTCTCTCCGGAAGAACCCGATTCCAACTCGCCACTAGCCTTGCTGTCCTCTTCTTTTCCCCCGTCCTCTGGTCTTCCCAGCTGAACCCTTAAGAATTCTTGAGCTTTCAAAACAGAGTCAATCTTTTCTTTTTTATCCTTGATCTTGAAAGTGACGCCTTCTGGAAATAGCCATTTATATCCAATTGAGTTTGTCTGAAGAAAAAGCACGAGCTCTTTGTACTTCCTTCTCCGTTGTCTCACTTCAAATGGAATATCCTTTAGTGTTCTGATGGTATTTCCCCCCACTTTCAGGGGTATTCCAGAGACCGCTTTCAGGATTGCATCCCTCACATGTCTCTTCGAGAATCTTACGACAATTTCCCCAGGCAGATTATTTTTCTTTATGTAACCTGAATATGATCTGTAGACCACATCCATATTGCTCAGTAACGCTTCCGCCTTCATTTCTGTCACTGGGGCTAGTAGTTCACTCATCACTTCTTTAAGATTCTCCACCTTATTCTCTGGCAAGCCGTAGAAGCGCAGAATCATGTTGGCCTTTTCCATTTGCACTTGCAACAGTTGATCTTCCATGGAGGTTTGTTTCCTTTCCAGCTTTTGCACTTTTTTCTTCACCTTCTGGGTAGTTGCAGCCACTTCCTTTACCTTCTCAGTATCTTGCTTCATTATTTGCAGGATATCGTTTATCTGGGTTTGTTGTGCAGTAATACTTTGAGTCACTATAGACATCTGTTCCTTGAAGTTATTCAGCTGTTCCAGCAGAGGACGCATATATTCTGCTATAGACTTTGCCACCTCACTGGTAGCTTCCGGTTTTGGGCTTTCCAGAGACAGAGCTTTCAAAAGTTTTCCCTGTCCTTCTTCCCTGCCATCTTTATTGTTTGTTTACTTTCACAATTTTTTAAAAAGTCTCTGAATGTGCACTTGACTGCTTAGATTCGCTTTGGTAAGTATTTCTAGGCAGTTTCCTTCACATTTTCTTCTGCTCCCCCCCTCAATCACTCAAAAGTTCATGTGCACGGGAGGTGTCCCTCCCCCACCTGCCTTTTTCCCGTTCAGTGGGGTGGGGTAGGGAGCTATCTTTTTCCCTTTGGAAAATGCTTCAAAGCTGACTCATGTTCATAATTGGTCATTCAACCTTGCTTTCAACTTTCATTTCTGCTGCTCGATCTCCTACTTTTGCCCCGGTCAGCGTCACTAAGTCCATTCGGTCTCACAGCACGGAGAACCGTCGTCATGAAGAGGCGCCTCAATTCTCTGGCATTTCACCATCAAAGAGGCAACCTCTTATAAGTTCCATGGCCAGGGTCCCTTCGCCGGGTCCCGGGGGGGGGGTAAGCGAGCCTGCGCATCCCCTCCTTCAGCTGGAGCGCAGCTTCACCCCCGGGAGGTCCAAGAGGTAAGTCGGCTAGCGTGCCGCCATCAACCGGAAGTCCCGCCATCAACCGGAAGTTATCAGGCAATCTCCTGCTACTACAGTTATCTTCCCAGATCAATTTGATGGGGAGAAGAAAAAAGGGGAGATGATGTCACTGATGTTTTGACATCATTTCTGGGTGAAAACCTGGAAGTGATGTCACAAATTACTGTGAAGCTCTAGGAATTCCACACATCTATATGGTCTTTACCACAGAGATCTATGGAACTCTGGGCATCACTTCTGGGTTTCTGCTTAGAACTGATGTCCCTGTGTCAAGGATGCCATTGTCCCATTGCTCCACGCAGTGAAAATTCCTATGGGTTACTAGTGATGGACTGGCAGCCCTAGAATGTCTGTAGAGCAGCTTTCACTGCGCTTTCACTTTATAACATTGAAAAACACTGGATTCTTCAATAAATTATTAACAAACACATTGTAGTATATTAATTCTTGCCAAAATTGACACATCCTTAAAAATATGTTGTATATGTCTACAGGAAGCATAGGAATTATTGTTATCTAATGCTATAGATTCTTACAGGGTTTTTTTTCCTGCTATACATTTTATATCAGTAAAATGTTTCTTTAAAAAATCCATTCCAAAACAAAATTAATGAGAGTTTGTTCACGACTCCCTTAAATCTCTCAATTTCTCCACTGGATGTTTTTAAGACTTCGGGGAGGGGGGGAGTTTTGTCTAAATGTCCTCCCTCCTCCCTTGCCCCAGTCCTTCACATCTCTATTTGAGTGCAAGGGAGAAAATAGTGGTCACAGTGGGGAGGGGTTGAGGCATGGGAAATGTGGCAAGGTGAACAGTACCTTCAAAAATATATACTTCCTTATTCAGATAGCATGCAAATGAGCTCTGGCTGCAATTCCCCCAATTTCCGTGAATTGTTTCAATCATGCTGAACTTGTGGCATCTCCTCAGCTTCCCCAGACTGCTATAACGATTACTGAAGGAGCTAGGGATTATTATTTATTTGATTTATACTCTACCTTTCTCACCAAGGGGGACCCAAGGAGGCTTAAAACTGTTCTTCTTTCCTCCATTTTATCCTCACAACAACCCTGTGAGGTAGGTTAGGCTGAAAGAGTGCGACTGGCCCAAGTCATTCAGCGAGCTTCCATGGCACAAGTAGGGGTTAGAACTTGGGTTTCCCAATACTAGTCTGACACTCTTAACCACTACACTACACTGGCTCTAGGGGATTACTAGGCAATTAGCCTAGGCTTTGCATAGATGCTGTATTTTGTGTGTGTGTGTGGGGGTGGCAATGAGAGGGTACTGGAGCCCACATAAAAAGAAGTGGAGGCATTTGACCTTCAGAATGGCACACATAAACAGTACAGGTTTTATTGTTTAAAAGCAAGCCTTGAGTGAATTACTAGGAATCTCACAGCCATAAAATCAATTCTTTCTCTTCTGATTTGATTCACAATTTTACATTTGTCTCAGGATGGGTTATTAGGCTATGTCAGTACATAGTTAGTGAGACTATCCAAGTTCAGAAGTTTTTCTGGGTTGGTACTGGGTTGGTACTGTAGCCAATAATGGAACCAGTTAGAAGAAAACTAGGAAGAAAATATCAAAATTGTGTGAATTTACCCCATTTCTGTTTGACAAAGAACTGTGTGAATTTCAAGTGTGTAAGCTGATGTCAGAAATTTGGGAATATTGACATTAACGTAAGACTTGAGGGAAATGTCATATGTGTTTGTCACAAAGCTTATTTTGATATTTTCTGGTAAATAATGGAAATTACTAAGATTGTGGCATTTTGGAGACTTTGGGGACTACTTTATTGTTATATTTGAACAGCTTTTCTCAAATAATGCATTGATTTACTTGCCTTATATCAATTATTATTAACAGGAACACCTGGCTTGGTAACTTACATTTCTCAATAAGCTATTTCTGAATTCAGGGGCTCCATATTCTTCCCATTTTTAATTATTATACATATATTCAATTTGGGGTGTTTGTGAATGTTATGTCTGAATAATCTTTTTTGTTCTGCATAAACCTGAGCTGAACCTGAAATGCTTTAAGCATGGTCTTGGGTCTTGTTTCTTTGTTCTTCCAGATACTCAGCAAAACTTGGAGAGCAAGTAGCAGATCTTCACCTTCACAACCAAAAACTTGGAAAGAAATTAAAGAAAGAAGAAAACACAGTTGGTAAAATATGGGCAGAGGGTAGTGGTTATAAATTTGTAGTAATCTGTCCTCCATGAGAGAATTGCTTCAGTGCAGAGGCAGTTAGTTGCAGTTAAATCCTATTTAAATTAATAGAACTTGGCACAACCAACAAGTCATTTGCTGCTACAATTTAGTTTCAAGAAATACACACTGACTGCTTCTGCACAGAGCTGTTGGTGCTGCAGTGGAGGCAGAGGCATTCACAGTGGCAGTGAAGCATACCTACAGAAGCTTCCTGTCAGGTTCCCAGTCAAATCACTCTCCACACACACTTTACCAGTGAATGTTTTATTTAGAGATATGAGATGCTATGGGTTCAAACTCTTTGTTAGGACTGAATTGCAAAGGCGAGAAAACAGGATACAGGTACAACCCCAAAATTCCATTCACATCCACCTCAGCATTACTACAATGACTTTGAAAGATATACAGCCATTATCTAGCCAGGCACAGACTTACTTCAATGACATTTCTCATGTGAAAGATGTCTTGAGGCCTCTTAGGAAAGTTACCAAGCAAGCCTCCCTAATTCACTACAGACACTCCCCCCCCCTCAAGGAATGCAATGGCAGGTGAGGGCAGCAATAAGGGATACAGAGGGCAAGCAGAATAGATCAGGTTAGAATGCATCAGGTTTCAGTTAGCCAGATGCATCAGTCTGACACTTCCCTTACACTTTTCTTGCCCTAGATCTCTGTGGCTGCTGTTCCCCCATTGCTACTGGAGGATTTTTCCAGGCTTTTAACAACTGGAAATAGTTACATTGCTATAGCGTTATAACAATATATTGCAACAATATACTTGTTCTCAGCTTTCCTTTTTTTAAAAGTAACTCTTTAGTTCTTTAGATTGCAGTTATAAGGAAAAATGTGCAACCAGTACTTTCCCCCTTATAGCTCCACAACAAGCGGTACCCACATGAAGCTACCTTATACTGAATCAGACCCTCAGTCCATCAAGGTCAGGATTGTCTGCTTAGATTGGCAGTGGCTCTTTGAGGTCTCTTGCAGATGTCTTTAACATCAACTATTACCTGATCCTTTTTAACTGGACATGCCATGGATTGAACGTGGGATCTTCTGCATGCCAAGCTCTGGCACGCTCCGGCCCCAAACGACCCCTGCTTCCAGGAAAATCAGAATGACAATGAGTGGATAAGGCATTTCAGTTTTAACAGGACAATGTTTGTTAACATTATGTAAAGGGAATAACCCAGGGATAATATAGAATTATGAACGCTTAGTATCAAATCAAAATGCAATCCACGCATCCATTTTTGTTTTGAGGGAAATCTTTGTGATCGAAGTCTGTTTGGTTTAACAGTGCATCTTGAAAATCCGGTTTTTCTAGTAGCTTTCCCATCATCCAAACTGCTGCAGACTCTAAACAAATGTAAATGTTCAGCAATTGCCCATGAGGAAGCCTGTTATCATGTAAATTGCTTGCCTAACATAAACCAAAGAGGAAGAGGCTGATTCAGGGGAGGGCAGTGGGTGGCACTTAAATATTCACAGAAATATTTCTACTTTAAGTAGAAGTATCAATTTCAAAATTGAGTAGAACAAACATTCATGGCAAAAGCACTTTTGGGAAGTGCGGAGCAAGAGTGTGCTGGAAGCTGTCTGAGTGCTGCTCCCCCTAAAATAAATGCAGAACCAAGAAGAAGCCCCAACACAAAGCGACAGTGAAAGAACACGGGAATGCAGAACAGAAGATGGAGATCTGCTCAGAAACCAAGGGAAAAGACAGGTGTGGAAAGGGCCTGTGTGAACCAGGATGCCCAGAAAGCATCACGTGGATTCTTCTGAGAATAGTGCTGCAGTTAAGAATGTCAAGGTGGAGCAAAACATCTATGTGGAATCTATGGGTGTGCAAAAAAAAAAAAGTTGGTATTTTTTGGCTTCAGGTATATCAGACCCTAAAAGTATTGGTAAATGCTGAATTTCCCCAGTCCAATCAGTAAAGTATTGGGATTGGGGAAATATTTGGTGTTGCTGAATATATTCTGGTCTGATGTATCAGACAGGAGGGAATGGAGGCATGTTAAAATGCCTTTTTTCCCTCTGGAAGCCCCTGCAGTTTTCCTTGTCAATTTCACTCCCCGCCAGTCAGCTGTTAGGTTTAAGCCATTTAAACCTAACAGCAGAGAGGCCAGGAGAGTGAAACTGATAAGGGAAAGCCTCTTCTCTCTGCCTTCCTTTCTCCAGCTGACCCGGGGTAGCTGGAGAAGGGAAGGCAAGGAGCCCAGGCATGTTTTCATGCCTGCCTTTGGCTTCCACAGCAGGCCCTCTGCAGCAGATCGGCTGCTGCAGAGAAACTCAGGGAGGAACCTTCTCCAGTTGCCCTGCAGCCTTCTCTGTCTTTCCCTTTCCTCCCTGAGCTTCTCTGCAGCAGCAGAGAGGCTCAGGGAGGGATGGAGGCATGTTTCCATGCCTGCCCTTCGTTTCCCCAGGCGACCCACCATGGCAGGCCGGCTGGAGAAGCAAAGGGCAGGCTGGGGAAGCAAAGGGCAGGCATGGAAACATGCCTGGGCTCCCTGTCTGCTCTTCTCCTGTTGCCAAGTAATATGATGAATTATTGAAGGACAACAGTAAAGAAAAGTCCAATAGAATCTGTTGGGCATTGGATTTTACTAATCGGGCAAAATACATACATAATATTATTTGGAAGCACTGGCACATCCTTGGGGATGTTCCCCAATGTAAAGAAAAACCATTTATAGGATTTAAAAGAACAACCAATGTTAAAGATTGTTTAGTAAGAGCAGATTTGCCTAGTATTTAAGTGCCAAAGATGTGCTGCGTGTAAATTTATTTGGGAAGTAAAAACATTGGAATTTCCTGAGATAGGTTTTCAAAAGGATATTGATTTCTTAGCAACTTGTGAAACTAAGGGCATTGTGTATCTCCTGGAGTGTGTATGTGGCAAACAAATACGTGGGAGAATCCTCTAGAACATTAATTTTTGTTGGAACACAAATTGCGCATAGAACATAATTGTGCAGAAGCTTCAATAGTTCAGCATTTTATTGATGCGGGGCATAGCGCAGATGAATTTAGGATAGTACTTTTAGAAGTTATGCATCCTGTCAAATTCAGTTGAATAAATTAAAAAATATGCTATTAAAGAGGGAGATGTTCTGGATTTTTCGGTTGAACACCTGCCAACTGCATGGGTTAAATGTTTCCTTAGACCTATCCCCCTTTTTATAAAATGGTAGAGGTATGTCCATCTCATAGTAAGGTGAACAGTAGAACTTAATTTTTTAAACACAATTTTTATTTATTTATATTTAACAAGCATAACTAAATAAACATACTACTAAAAATTCTCAACTAGAACAGGTGCACATAAATTTTACAATACATTTTGGAGATTTCGACAATAATAAACAAATCAATAAATAGAAAAATTCCTATATTTTGCAGGCAACATATATGCAGATGATGAACAGTTGGACACATTAGTCAAAAAAAAGAAACCATCGTTCCATAAAATGGTTGGTCATCTGTGGAGACGTTGCAGATATTATCTGAGAGGCTATTTTGTCAGTGATAAGCAAGTCTCAACATTTAGATATCCATTGATTTACAGTAGGAAGTGTAGCCTGGTTCCATTTTTGAGCAATTACCGTTTTTGCTGCTGAAAACAACAGGGTTAGCAGTCCCTGAACATGTTTAGTGGGTGACAAATCAGACTAAATATTTAAAAGAACCGCTTCTGGGGTTAACGAAATATCCAGACCTATAATCGATATTTCTTGAACAATGACTTTCCAGAAATTATAGATAAAGGGGCAGCCCCACCAACAATGTAAAAATGTGCCTTTCAAGACACAACCTTTCCAATAGGTATAAGATGTCCTCAATTTACACATAAATAATCTATTTGGCGTCAAGTACCACCTAGAATATAGTTTAAAAGATTGTTGCTTCAATAAAAGATTATTCGTTTTAAATGAAAATGAACTCCACAGTTTAAGCCATTGTGGTTCGCTTATAGAGTCTTTACAGCCCCTTTCCCAAGATTTTTGAGCTGAAGATTTTGGGAACCAAAGATTGCCATTCAGGGCTTGATAAATAACCGAAATGGCCCCCTTAGCACTGGGAGATTTCATCATAATTAAAGTTTCAAAACCAGATAGAGGGCTTGTCATGTCAGTACATCCAATAATTGTAGCCATGAAAATTTAACTTTAAGTTTGCATTCTAGCTGTTCTTGGGAACCTACTTTACCTTGTATGAGGATATCTCCCAGTCTAAACATATGCTTTCCCCTTAAATTTACATAGTCCGTTGTTTGTTTACCTAATAAAAACCAGTGCTGTCCTAAAAAGGGTAAGATTGGATATCCCTCGGACTAGAGTAGATCTTTTTTTGTCCCATAATTTCATGGTAAAGCTAATAAAAGGGTTCACATACATAGTCTTTATTCTATGTCATTCCATATCACTTCATACAATTTACATGAAGGCCAAACTTCACCTTCCATTTGAACCCAAGTTTTGTCACAGTTAGGATTTGCATATAAAACTACCGCTTTAAATTGTGCCGCAACAAAATATGATCTAGTGATGGCAAGCCCAAGCCACCCAATTTTTGTGGTCTATTTAACAAAGCAAAAGTCAATCTGGCTTTTTTATTATTCCACAAAAAACTTCAATAAACTAGACTTCCAATCTTTGAAATCTTTAAGAGGAATCTCCACAGGGAGATTTTGAAATAAAAATAGAAACTTAGGGAGCAGAAAAGCTTTAAACATATCGATTTTTTCAAATAAAGATACATTCAATTTCTGCCACCATTGTAGTGTTGTTTTAAAGTTTGAGTTAAAGGTTTATAGTTACATTGGTATATAGTCTCCAATTCTACAGGAATTAATATACCCAGGTGTTTTTAGTGTTTTGACACCGCTTAAAAGGATATGTTGTAGTCAATATGTCTAATTCACTCTCTGCCATACTTACTGGATATATTTCA